CCGATCCTGATTTTTTTTGTTTATTTGCACTCAGTGGTTTTTTTTCATTTCATTTTTTTTCCAGAATTTTTTTAAAAAAAGGGAATATTTTCAATTAAAGTCTGAAGTTTACACTTGGCTCTGTTGAGAACAGAGATTCCTAAATTATTGATATTCCATAGGAAAAATTCCCATTTCATCAATCCCTACCTTTTCCAGCTATTTCACCTCCAAGGAGCCGTTGTTAAATATCTTTATAAAATTATTTTTTTAATTTTAATTTAAGTATTTTTGGTGTTGCTTTCAAATCCAACACTTCCAGTGCAATATTTTCAAACAGTGAGGCTTCAAATCCTTGGATTCCCTGGGAATTTTTCCCATTTTTTTGGAATCCAGCCTAATTTTGGGAGAAAAAGACATTGAACCATGTCGAGGGTGTTGTTTGCAAGGTTTGTATTTCTTCAGCTTCGTTAGGACTGGAGTAAAATTTATTCCAAGTTTTTCCTGGCATGCACTTTATTGGAAAATCCAGTGATAATTCCATATCCATCAATTATTTCCAGGGAATAAAATCCCCTCGGAGCTTCTCCTGTTGTTTCCCGCCCCCAAATCGCTGCAGGTTTGCTGAGAGAGGAAAGGGCACTTCCCACACCTCATTTTTCCATGGATTTTGCACTAAATCCGTGTTTGTTGAGGCTGGGATGGGAACTGGGCGTGGGATGAGTCCAACCCAGAATTCCCAAAAAGAAATCTTTTGGATTGGAGCGGTTTTGGGGTGTTCTTTGTGCCATATTTTTTATTGTTGTGGGGTTTTAGCACCGACTCCGTATTTTGTGGGTTGTGTTGAGTCCAACATGTCCCAAAAAACTTGGAATATTCCTTGGAAAAACCCATCCTGGAGCTGTACATTGACTGAATTCCATGTGCCAGAAGGATTTTCCACCTGTAATTCCTTCTTATTAAATCTCTTGGAATTGTGATTTTTCTCTCCTGTCTTCACTTGGCTGGGAATTTACGGGAAAAATCCATCCCTGTTTTCCTGTGGAATGGCATTTCATGGATTCTGTGGAGTTGGGCTTTAGGATGGCTTTATTCGGGATTAAAAATATGGAAAATTTTCCCTGCTGGAAGGTGGCCCTGGATGAATTTTACGCTTCCAACCCAAACTGTTCCGTAATTCCGTGATCTTCAGCGAGGCTGGGAAGAGTGGCTGCTATTCCAGAGGGGCCTCAAACTCCTGGAGAAATGGGCTGGTGGGATCCTCATGGATTTAAAAAGGAGAAATCCTTCCCTGGGGAGGAGCAATCCCGGGAATCGGAACATCCTGGGAACACCCAGCTGGAAAACGGGAGCTGGAGGTGCTGCTGGATGGAATTCCCAAATGGATTGGCTTGGAAGGGATTTTTTAGGATCATCCAGCCCCATCCCCAGGGACGTTTGCCACTATCCCAAGGTTGCTCCAAGCCCTTTTTTTCCATGAGAGTTGGACTGGAATGGGATGATCCTTAAGATCCCTTCCACCCCAAACCATTCTGGGATTTTCTGGGATTCTTTGTGGGATTCCCGACTCCTTTTGTGGGCTGTAGATCCCGAACTCAGTGGAGTCCCACACCAGCTTGAAATTCCATAGGGAGATCCCAAAATTTGATGGATTTGAGGGATTCCAAACGGGAATTCCGTGTCCCAGGTGCCAAATGTAGAACAGGACCCAAAACCGAGGATCCGGAGACCTCAGGGATGGCTCCCTGTGGAACAACCTGTCCTTCCACATGGATCATCCTGGAGATTCCTGGATTTGGGAATTACTCCTTGTCCACATCCTCTCCAGAGCCTTTCCAGCTCCCAGAGGTGAGTCAAGCTCAGGAAAACGCATCCCAAAAAGAGAGGAAACATCTCGGGAGACGTTTCCCTGTTGCGTCCCGGAGAGGGAAATTCCGCGATCCCGACTCCAGCCGCTCTCCGTGGCCTTAGGGCCGCCTGCTTTTCCACACTTTTTTAATGGGATTGCTGCTTCCAAGCACAGCAAATTCCCCGAGTGAGAGAAATCCCGTTGCGGCCGGGGTTTGGCTCCTCCCGGGCACCTTGGCCTCGTTTTTGTGCTTCATGGCAGCAAATGCCCACGGGGTGTTTTTTGGGAGAGCCGTCAGGGAAAGGAGGTGGGATGGAGGGATGAAGGGGGGCCAGGAAAATAAAAAAAAAAGGGAAAAAGTGAAATGCATCTTTTTCCGCCTTTCCATTTAAAAAAAAAAAAACAAGTTGGGAAAATTTGAGCTCATAAACACCCCTGGAGAGCGGGGTGAGGTTTTTCTCCCCCTCTCTCCTTGGTTGTAACCACAGTTGGGGTTTGGGGTTTTTTTTTTAAAAT